TGAGTTGAGTTGACTTGAGTTAGTATTGAATTGAGTTGAGTTAGTATTGAGTTGAGTTAATGGATGGGTGGTAGAAATAGTACTAACCCAATAGAGAGATAAAAGTAGTGCTGATGGAGATAGCCAAGACAGACATTTATTGGTTTGGCCTGATGCCGGGGTGATGGAATGGGCAAGTTAAGCTGAATTGAAATGGCGTGTGTGAGTGCAGTGTGTGGCTAGGAATTTAGCATTAGGACACACAGGCACCGAATAATATGGATTGTATAAACTTGAGGGATGGGTTTTAACATCATGGTGTGATTGGGGCGTTCTGTCGGCGCTGGGCGTCAGGTACTATGAGGGGAGGACTGGGATTGCCTTGTTTGGGTAAAGGTTTGTTGTTGTCTGGGACCCGCAAGACTATTTTAAGGTTGAGGTGTCGAAAGAAGGCATAGTTGGTTGTGTTGTTCTCCGTGCGCACTATAGTTTGTTGTGAAGCAGATATAAGGGCCAATTTGGCCTCGCTCTGGGTTACCGACGGGTTGGTGGGGGGATCGAGGATTTTAGAGATAGGGAGACTTAAGCTACGGCGAGCGAAGATTTCTACGGGCCTGTCTTGCGGGGTTAAAGTGTCGATCACAACATCGGGGAGAGAAGAGTCGGCGATTATCATGCCTGGCTGGCACGACCAGACCAAGAGCTGATCAAGTATTAGACGATTCAGAGTCATCTGAGATAGAGCAATAAAGAAGTTGGAGAATGTTTTGGAGGTAAGAGTAAGGTTGAAGAAACAAAGATCATCAATCTGAGTAGCTAGCCAGTCCTTATTGGTAAAAGAGGCAATTTGGTTGAGATCGACGTTAGTACTGTTAATAATGGCTAGATTGCGCATGGAAATACTTTGCTTGGCTGGAGGTTTTAGCACGAAGTGTTGGAGAACATTGCAGTCCTGGAGGTCGCAGTTGTATATGATCAAAGAAGGAAGGGGGGATCTCTGGCTAAAGCCCTGTAAGACGTATCTGATAAGCTCTGGCTGAGAATTGTTGAATTGCAAGAACCTAACATGAATGTCCTTTAGCCTGGAATTGTTGGAAAGAGGAGGACAATTGGCTAGTTCCCCATTGGGACAGAATAAGTTGATCATGGAAAGGGAAATGTAGTTGAAACAAGACAGAATCCGACTAATCAGCGCAAGGTCTGCTGTAACCAAGTCAGGTGGGCTAGGGAGGTGTTGGGGGATGCCAGAGAGTATAGTGAGCTTAAAGCAGCGGATCTGGAAAGAGCTAGGCAGTGTATGAAGAAACTGGGCTTGGTCGATAAGATTACGGAATATACTGAAATTAATCGAAACATCCACATCACTATCCCACATAATCTTAATGAGATCGCCGAGTATTTCCTTCACAGAACAGTCAGACCATTCTCGTTCGAAGAACAATTGGCGATTGCCATGATTTTGTGGATTGCAAAGTTTAAGCCAGCCCTCGATATTATCCAGAGAAGTGGATATAGATAGATCACCATTTTCGGGATTTGAGCTCATAATACTCGGGGTAGAGGGTGTGCTTGGAATAGTCACGATAGCTCCCATAGCGTGCAAACGGTTTAACACAGAAATGTGCATGAAGAACATCTTCTCATCGTCGGGCAGATTGGATAAACAGAATGTGGCGAAGTCTACCAGTGGGCTTACTTCCTCGACCGTTTTGATGAGCTTGGCTAAGGTTCCAGTAAAGTTCTTGTTGCGGATGCTCTGTAGAGTTGGGCGCGTCGACTTATCAGAACTCGTTCTGTTCCTAGGAGCAGTAGAGCCATCTTCTCTGGTCGGTTCGGTATCAAAGTCCCTAAAACTAGCGGTGTGTTTAGCAGCAGCAGATGCTGCATTATTAGGCGGCTTAGTATCAGTGGGTTGAGTATTAGTAGTTGAGGACTTATTAGAAGGCTTCTTCTTCCCTTGACTTTCATCAGGATTCGAACACCCATCGCCTGGAGTACGTTCACCAAGGCATCCCGGGCCATTATTGCCATCATCTGAGGCACCATCGCCTGGAGTACGTTCAATTGGATTAGTGCACTGATCAGCTTGATCTTTGTCAACTTGGCCTTTACCATTCTTAATTCCATCAACTTGAATCTCATCACTTTGATCGTTATTCATCTCATTCTCACTACTTGAGGGTCTCTCACCATCCGAACGACGAATGCCTCGACTACGGTCAATAATGCCTACACGACTGTTGGGCCGGCGGAACTCACTATTGCTGTTGCTTTCTGATGAACCTCTGGACTTGAGCCGGCGTGGTTGGCTTTCGGTCTTATCAGGACTGAGGTCTTTGCTTAGGTTTCGAAGTGAGCTATTACTTCTAGATCGTGAGCGCTGCTTCCTAGTTCTTGCTTGGGCTTCTTTGTACTGTTCTTGAGAGTCAGGTCCGGGGCCAGTGTAGTATCCTGGGTCCGATTCGCAGAGCATATCGTCATCTGGGATTGTAAAGATACTACCTGGGACAAGTTGAATAACTTCATTAAGAGCGTTCTCAGTGAGCACTTGGCGAGCAGTGTTATCTCCATTGGAGAGTTTATCTTGGTTCAATTCTGGTTCGGTTGTTTCGTCACATGCTTTCTCTTCAGGCTGAGGCATAGTTTGGACAGCTACGCTGATAGTAGTGGGAGCTTCAATCGTTTCTGAGGGCATTGTCTGGGTAGATCGATTAATAAACTCGTCTTTATGCATGGTAGCGATATAAATGACTATTACAACGAAGATGCCAAAGAGAAAACTATACAAAAACAAGGATTTCGGTATCTTAGATTCTAATTTTGAAGATACCATGTAAAATAAAAATTGAGTCATATTTATCCTTACAAACACGCATCAATCTTATCTCCCTTGACAAATTGGTTCAATTAATTTATCAGTTTTAGATAACCTAAATTGCACTTTTTTGACCAAATTGATCTAGAATATGCCCTAAACTACTCTGTGACGCCAAATGAGAGATAAGGACCCTGAGTATTAATCGAAGAAAGAGTGTTTAAGTCGAAATTAAGGCCAAACAACCACTCTAATATCTTTGTTGTCCTTCTGGCAAACACTTTGTTTTGTGCCAAGGTTAAAGTAAGGTCAAGCCAAGAGTTAAATAAGATCTAAGGTTGTATCAGGTTTAATAGTAATATAAGTGAAAATTAGAATGAGATAAGATCAGGTTGATGAATTTATGGTCGAAAAGAATGAATTAAAAATAGGTCTACCAGGCACTGTTATGAAACTAAAGATAAACTCAAACTCCAAGCCAGCATCCAAGCCAAACAGTCAGTACACCCCACTTTATTAGTATCTATCTACTGCCCAGAAGAAGGCGTACTTTATATCTAAATCCTCAGACTTATAACTTATACTACAACCACAAGTACATATGTACATTCATTTATTGCCTGAAGATAGTGATATGATCTTGGAAAGATTCGAATTCTCAGAATTTTTGGACTAACCCATAGGTTCAATAGATATCCAAATTGAATTAAGATAAGATAAGTTGGGTGTGGTATGGTATGGTGTAAGATAGGGTGGAGTGGAGTGATGTGAGTATGTGATCAAGTAATGTGACATGTGATAATGCAAAGTGACATGTGATAAGGCAAAGTGACATGTGATAAGGTCAAGTGACATGTGATCAGGCAAAGTGACATGTGATAATGCAAAGTGACATGTGATAAGGTCAAGTGATATTAAAGTAAGATGGGATTAAAGTGGGATTGAGAAATACCAACCCAAAACCAACCAATTAAGAGATAAATATAGATTAATAAGAAATCCAAAGAGTTTATTAGATAGTATTAAAATTAGAAGAGTTAGTGTCTAAGTCAAAACCAACCCAATTATAACTATAACTAGTCCATTATTTAGAAGAGATTCAGTAAGTCAGCCGAAGTCTTCTTTGGACCCGATTTAGTACTTAACTTACCACCACTTACTTTCATAGTACTATTACTATTGCTACTAGTCATATTCTCACTCACTTCAATCTCACTCATTCCCACACTCATATTAGTCTTCTCTTCAGTATTCATATTAGTCTTCTCTTCAGCACTATCACTCCTACCATTACTAATTCCACTTCTCATACTAACACTCCCAACCTCTCTACTTCTACTTCTATTAACCCAATTACTACCACTCATATCCCCACCATCTACACCCAACCCATCCATACCTCCACTCAACCCATCTATACCTCCACTCAACCCATCTATACTCTCACTCCCACCACGACATACACGATTTCCACTACTCACTCTATCATACGTACTCTTACTAACCCATTGCACAACTTCATCTGTAGCTGCTGTTCCCATTACAACTTCAACAACCGGCGCCTCAGACGGAATACTTACTCCTCCACCAATTACTTGGTCTATTTCATCACTAGTCACTATATAATAAGCCGTTTTAAATTCACTCCCATCAACTTTGATCTTCGCTAGTAAAACCGAATCTAAAACACTCTTCTCACTATCATACAACACTATCCGTCTTCCATCAACAGCTAAATACCCATCAAACCATCGCCTTTTACCCTTAGGCTGGTAGGCACAGATAAACATGGCTAAAATTCTGCACTATCTTAAATACACATGCTTGTTTAGATGTTTATTTGTTATAGTCCTTTATATTTATCTTAGTTGACTGCAAAATTTCGATGCTTAGAAGTGAAGATATTAGTATGGTTAGAATCTATATCTCACCCGATATTTCCCGAAGTGCGTTAGAAGAACTAGGGCATAGGAACATTCTTCACTTGGTTCCAATGAGTGATAAGAAGTCTACTAAGTCCGATTACCGCTTAGAAATGGAAAGAACACTATCTCGAGTTGAGTTTCTCTTGCAAGAGTTGAAGAAGCAAGAGATTCCCAGAACTAAGGAGGTAGAATATCCGCCCCTAATATCTACAGTAGATGTTTTATCACAGGAAGTAGAGAAGCACTACTATCGAGTCGTACAGTTATTACAGATAATGAAAGAGACTCAACAGACAGTAGAAAGACAGGAGGAAGATGTAGTTGTTTTACAAGAACTACAAAGAGTGATAGATGAGAGTGGCAAGGGTATAGATGAGAATGGTAAGAGTAGTGATTTTGAACTAGATTCAGGCATTAAGTTTGGACTGGAGTATGTAGCTGGTGTGATTAAAAAAGGCCAGATAAGATCTTTAGAAAAGTTCTTATGGCGATCTTTACATGGCAATCTTTACTTCATTCCTATCGAAATGGTCTCTCTAGAGAAGGCCGGGTTTATCTGTTTTACGCATGGTGAACGAGCTATTGAACGAGTACGTACGATCTGTACAAAGATAGATGCCCGGATTGTACGGTATGAGGCTAAGAAAGGAGGGAAGAAAGAGGAAGACTTACTACAAGTCTCTTCTAATCTCGCCCAAGTCTCACGTGTTCATGAGATTAACCAGGAAACCTTTGTGACCGAAATGAAAACTATTGCCCGTGAAGTCTCAGCCTGGAAGTATTACGTCATCCGTGAAATTGAAATTGAAGCAGCCCGAGAGAAACTAGAAACAAACAAGGAGAATTCATACCTCACCGGGCAAGGATTCATTCTTAAACGTGATGAAGAACGATTTGGCCGCACAATCAAAAAGATCTGTGAAGTTCATGGTGACGTAGCAGCTGAGATCGTACCTATTCCCAAGGAAATGACCAAACCAACTCATTTTGAGAGTAATCGGATTACGCAGACCTTCCAGGACTTAACTAATGTCTATGGGATTCCAGCTTATAAGGAAATCAATCCCACTATCTTTTCAGTTGCTACATTTCCTTTTATCTTTGGGTGTATGTTTGGCGATATTGGCCATGGACTGATTTTAATTGCTATTGCACTTTACATGATAAGAAAAGAGAAGGTTTTGAACGTACCTAAGTCATTAGAGATAATCTTTGCTGGCCGGTACTTGATTGCACTGATGGGGGTTTGGGCCGTTTACTTTGGGTTTCTGTACGGTGATTTCATTGGGTACCCCATTGGGGAGTCAGCTAGTGCGTATAAGGGCGGGGCCAAAGGCGTCTGCTACTTTGGGATCGATTATGCCTGGCACCATTCACCAAACGGTTCTAACTTTGTCAACTCTTTAAAGATGAAGACTAGTTTAGTGATTGGGTTTGTGCACTTGACAATGGGAATGGTCTTGGCCGGGTTTAATGCGCGGTACCGTCGGGACTATATTCGACTGGTTGGAGTGGTTATTCCGCAACTAGTGATCTTCTTTTGTTTAATTGGGTACATGATCTTCTTGATCTTCTTGAAATGGGCTACACCACGGGATTCCTGGCCGGGTATTATTGGGATTATCATTGAAATGGTCTCCTTTGCCCAAGTTCCAGCCGAATCACTAGTCTATCCCGGACAGAACTTTGTCCAAAAACTACTGATGAGCACCGTACTTCTTACTATTCCCTGGCTGCTTTTCTTTACGCCTATTTACAAGATAGCTACTAAATCGGCTCCAGAAGGAGAGTCTCGTTTAGATATGTGGATGCATACTTTAATTGAAGGTGTTGAGTTTTTAATGGGGCTTATCTCTAATATTTCATCGTACTTACGATTATGGGCTGTTTCTTTAGCCCATGGTGAGCTTAGTGCGATTATTTTCACCCGGACGCTAGGTACGCCCAATGTAAGTCTTCTTTTCCGTACTTTAGTTCTCTTCCCGGGCTGGGCTATTGTTACATTTGTTCTTCTTATCTGCCTAGAAGGACTTAGTTCTACTTTGCACAGTTTACGACTCCACTGGGTAGAATTCGGGTCAAAGTTCTATGCAGGTAATGGCCAGCTCTTCACCCCCTTCACTTTCAAACCCCAGATCCTTCTGGATCCCGAAAGAAAGCCCGGACTCTAACTCCATCCCTTCCCACTACCCCAATAAATACAACTTACGCACTCAGTTACGCATTAGTTACGCATTAGTTACTCACTACTTAGTTGTTCACTTAATTGTTCACTACTTACTCACTTATTCAACCCAACTCAATCAAAACTTAACCTAATCAGAACCTAACCTAACTCAATCAGAACACAACCTAATCACAACTCAACTCAAAACCTAATCTAATCTAAATACGTTTATTTTGAAACACAAATACTAACTCTAACCCAACCCAATCAAACCCAATCAAACCCAATCAAAACCTAACCCAATCAAAATCACAACTCAATACTCAACTTAACTCAAATTAAAAGCAAGATAAGACAATCTAAGATAGCCTACTCATATTTTCTCTTTTTTTTAGTACTCCATGAGGATTTCCACACCAATTGAAAGACGCTTTTCACAACCTTTAGAATCTATTTCCAATATAATTAGACAGGCTGAAACTTTACCAATTAGTGACCTAGCTAACTATCTTAACAGTATTGATCAGTGGAGGTACGGAAAGACCGATTTACTCTACTGGGTGGCAGTTTTAGACCGATTTGATGACCTACTAGGCCAGATCATTACGGAGGCTCAACTGGATACATTACAAAGTCGAGCTATTCCTGAGAGTGATAGATTTTTAGCCCGATCAATTTTAAGATTTCAAAAATTATTGATAGAAAATAGTTCTAATAAGAGTATTTTTAATGGTTTTGATAGGATAGATGCTCTTATCTATGCTTTTGAACTTGATGTAGCTAATGAAGCCTTAGCTTTAGCCGCTTTTTTTGCCTCTAAAATTCACATTCAACGTTCAATTAGAACAAGTATGAATGAAATGCATTTAGATGATTTATTAGGATTAGTTGAACGAGTTAATCGACCAGTAACTCATTTTATCTATACGGAAGAATCAACTCGAGTACCTAAACGAGTCAGTTTAAGTAGATTGTTAAAAAAAGGTGTTTTTGTTATAGATAAGGTTATTCCTAAGGGAGATCAACGTAAATTTGCCCATACTAGGCGGATGTACTTAGGAGATCCTGAAGATTTAGCTGTATCTCGACTTTTATCTTCGGCTGTTCTTGTTTACTGTCGGCCGGGGGCTATGGCTATTGATGCTGATTTTATCGCCCGTGATCTGCATGATTTACTTGATTTAGTCTGTACGGCAGCTGATAAGGTTAAAGAAGCCGCTTTAGTTATGTTGGATGCTTTATTTAGGATGAGATTAAGACATGCAGCTGTAGTAGCAGCAATGGGTGCTCATTTACATGATGGTTTTGTTATGTCGCGATTAAGAGAGGCAGTAGAAGGACATATGAGTGAGATAGTGGCTTCGGCCTTTTTTAATTTACTGATATCGTTTTTTGCTTCATCTACAGGGGCATCAGCTTTATTTGCGGCCGGGATAGTCCAGTACGTTTGTGCGGCCTGGCAAAGACCCGATGTACCTTTACGTACTAAGGGCCGACTGGTGATGGGAGCTAATACGTTCTTGTTTACTATAGCAGCTACTTTACCGCGCTTCTTAGCTGAACATGGGATGAGTATTCTAGCTAAGGAATTAGCTTTAGCCGTTGATCTTATTCTGCAAGTAAGTAATGGTATGGGTGGAGTTGGTATAGGTGATAGTGAAAATCAAAATCAAAGTGAAAATCAAAAT